ATTTTATTTATCATGATATTGCAATCAAGTTCAGAATAAACCATCTGTAATATTATCCTGGACTCACATATCACGTGGCTCCTATTTCTCCATTTTTATATCATTTGATATCCACCACATTGTTAACACTAGAATTAAAACCAAAATTAAAGTTCGAGCATTTTCCGTAAGATTCGGAATATATGAATGAAACATTTGGAAGCGTGATATCGAATTCAATTTTCTCCAGCCGAGACATAAAAAGCACTCGAGTATGAATATTCATGTCGAATACCCATTCCATTGTTCAACTACGAAAATAAAATTAATTATCTATACGAACCCGAATATAAATTATTGCCTATACTAAACGTATTCACAAATAAGCCCACCACTTCTGAAGTAAAATAAATATGCAAATCCTTCGACCTAACCTTTTCAGTGATATCAGCCTTCTCATATGCAGATATATTCGATCGAAGGTGGCTGGGAAAGACAAAAAAACTGGACCTATTCAAAACCAGAGACACCTGGGTTCGACTGCATTGTCACTTGTTTTTCGGTTCTCGATGCCAGACATACCGTCTCAGTTATTTGCGAGTATTGAATGTTAAGGGGGAAAGAGACAGAACCTAAGTATTAGAAAGATATGGACTGTTTTGGTTGATTTTGATTTGTATAAAAGTTATTAACGGAAAAACAGATTTTAAACAGATTTTTATTTGAAAGGGTTTACTGTTCAGTTGACATACGTTATAGCGTAAAAAATGGTTCTTGATAATTTTTTCAGGTGAAATATGTATAAGGACATTCCATTGAATCAATGAGGCTTTCCACCTTCTAGTTTGAAAAAAAACGTGTGCGCCTCGGGACGCCCAGCAGAAGTGATAACTTAAACTAATTTAAGCTGAACTATTCAATATCGATACTGTTTAACCCTTTCGCTGCGGATAGCGCATAAAAGCGTCATTTCATTTTCGTGTCACCTCTGCGGACGATGCATTTTTGAGAAAGGTCTAGTTGTTTTGCTGCTGTAAACACATGAATGTGTATAAACAAGTCCGTTTCTTATCCACTCTTTGTCACGTGATTTAGCCAATCGCTTGGGCAGATTTGAAGCGGCGATGAAGTGTTTTACGTTTAGTAGCGCTTGGAACGTTGGAACATTTGTTGTGACGTGTCGAGGCGTGTCGAGACGTTTAGTATTGTTTGGAAAGCATTTGTTAAAGTACCACGGAGTACAAAACAATAAAGGTGAAATAAAACGTAGTCATTCTGAGCGAATTGTGCCGAAACAGTGATTATAGAATAAAAGGTAATTATTTTGGTTAGTGCAGAAATAATAATAATTATAACTTTTTTTAGTAATAACAATGTCTATTCCCTTGCCTAAAAGAGGGGCATATTATACCATTGCCGAACTAGAGGAAATCCTGACGCAAAGTGACTCACAAGATGATTTTATAGCCGGGGATGCATCGGATGATTCCGCTGACGAGATTGAAGCCAAAGTTCTGGAACAGCTAACAACTTCACCCGCAGATGAAGCTTAAGTGGAAGAACATGCAGAAGAAGAGCCAGGTGAAATAAACGAAAACTAGATTTGGGAACAGGTAAACATTGTGCCGCGGAAATTCTCTTTTGATACGAGTAATTGTGGACATAATATTCCGGATCTTTTTGATGACTGTTCCGAATAAGATTGTTCTCAAGTTTTTTTCGAGATAACAAATCATAGCGAAACCAATAAATTTTATAAATACGTCGTGGAACATAAAGATCGTCTTCTGCCACATTCTAGATTGAACCAATGGAAGGACACTGACGCAAAAGAATTACATCGTTTTTTTGCACTGAACTTTCTAATGACGCGTGTAAGAAAGCTTCAAATACAAGAGTACTGGTCTGTAAATGCGTTATTAGAAACACCTGCCTTCGGGAAAACAATGCCACGGGATAGATTTCTGGGGATCTTGAGTATGCTGCATTTTTCCGACAATAATTTGCCAAAGGAGGATGATACTTTACGAAAAATTCGTAAAATTTTGAATCATGCAAAAGCCACATTTAGAAAATCTTTTATCCCATATAAAGAGTTATGCATTGACGAAAGTCTAATGCTTTTCAAGGGAAGGCTATTTTTTAAACAGTATATACCCTCAAAGCGACATCGATTTGGCATTAAATTTTCTGTTTTGTGTAACGCAGTCAGCGGTTATATATTAGATTTTATAATATATACTGGAGCAACCACAGAAACTGCGCAATCGAATTTCGAAAAATCTGGAGATGTAGTTGTTACACTTCTTGAACCCTACTTGGACAAAGGTCATACTTTGTTTATGGACAATTGGTATAGCAGTCCTGATGTATTTTTATGGTTATATGAACATTACACTAACGCTTGCGGAACTGTGCGCAGGACCAGAAAGCAAATGCCTAAAATGGAAGAAAAATTAAAAAGGGGCGAGTTTTCCTTTCGTACTACTCGAAACAGACTAATTGCCATAAAATGGTGTGACAAACGTGAAGTATTTATGCTTAGTACANAAAAAGGGGCGAGTTTTCCTTTCGTACTACCAGAAACAGACTAATTGCCATAAAATGGTGTGACGAACGTGAAGTATTTATGCCATGACAACAGTTTCGCAGCTACAGGAAAAACTGATAGAACGACCAACAGACAAATTATGAAACCAGAGTGTATTATTGAGGGCAGTTGACAAAACAGATATGTTGCTAAGCTCTGTCGAAAGTGTAAGGAGAACAACCAAATGGTATAAAAAAGTATTTTTCCATATCATGGACATGGTCCTGCTGCACAGATATTGTTCCAAGATGCCACAAAAAAGAATACAACAGATGAATTTGATTTCTCAAATGATAGAACTCAACTTGGGTGACTACGATTACACATCAAGAAGGGCGCAAGTTCCGGCTTCATTTCGATTAACAGCTAGACATTTTCCTAAAAAATTTCCACCAAGAAATGAAAATAATTTGATCGGTAGAAAAAGATGTTTTGTTTGTACTTAGAATAAGGTACGAAAAGTGTGAACCGTGTAATGTCGGGCTATGTGTAACACCATGTTTTGAAAAGGATCACACATTACGTAACCGAAAATAGATACGTAGGTACAAAAAATCGTTTTGATTCGTATTTTCATTCTGTTAAAACTTTTTTGTTATGTTTTGTTCTGATTTTTTAGAATGAGATTTCTGTTATTTCCCTTATGTAAGAATTTTTGTTTGTGTTTATAAATGAATAATTTGAAATAAAAAAAAGTAATACTTACAATAAAATTTAAAAAATTATTCAGTTATGGAGATTATACGATTATATTTAAATTATATATCAAAATTTGATGCTTCACTGTGAATGACGTCTTTTAGCGCAGCACTGGGGGAAACAAAGCCAGATTGAGCGCGCCGCAGCGAAAGGGTTAACCTGAGAAAAACTCACGTTGACATGTTGGGATTGGAAAGCATTTTATCCCTAATTCTATGATTGTGAAGTTCTTTGCTTTCATTCATTCTGCAACAGTTTGCAGCTGTTGCGAGCATTAACAAACCTAGTATGGTTTTCGACACTGGGATTTCTGCACCACTGCTGGTAGGCGGAATTTTTGAAGACAATAGCTTGTTCGCAATCTTTGTTAAACCAAGGTTTACCGTTAGAAGTTCGTTTCATTGAGAAAAAGAATATATACATCCATGGATGATAGAATAAGTTTCGTGACTTCAAAAGCATAAGCTGATGGAACTTCAGAGCTGAAAAAAAATCTATCCAGGGAATTTCGAAAATGGTCTTGAAGATCCCCCCACTCAGCAAATCTGTAATGCCAAACTTTGCGATGCTCAGATAGTTCTTCAATATTTATCTTCGATTCATTAAACACTGCAATAAGTTCGTGGTTTAAAGATCTCAATGGAATCCTTACGGTGACTGTGTTAATTTCTGGATTGGTTGTTAGGTATAGATCCATAAGACTAGCATATTCTCCATCACGGTCAGGAATCTTGGTTGGCTCATTTATTATCTGAGTAGGTCCGCTAATTATTACAAAAGTCTCAACTTTGTGTGGAGGAATTCAGAGTTTTCATCGAACTTCTTTGGGTATTTTCACCTTCCACAATCTGAAACGGATTAGGTATCGTTTACCGCCACTAGGAACAAAAACGAACGGTCGCGCGTCTTTCTTTCTTGTTGTTAATTAGCAAAAAAATGGCTTCTTAACCACAATCGCGATCTACTAAAAGAAAGCACGAAACTTTAACTTTAATGGAAAATATGGAAATCTTAAGGGCCCCATTCACGTTGAGATCGGTATCGATACATGATGCAAGTATCAGTATCTTGATACAACTCTCACAGTGTATTTGTCTGTCTCGGTATCGCGGTATCGGTATCAGATGGTATCGTCGGCTGTATCACTGTATCCGATACCGCTGTATCTGTATATCGGATACTGTGTATCTATATCGGATACCGCTGTATCCGATACCGAACGCATGCAACTGATACTTGTTGCAACGTGTATGTTGACGAATATGTATCGCGCTACCAAAATATAAAGACAGTGTTGTTTCCAACATGGAAGATCGGGAGTTTTGGGAGGAATTTTTAAATTTGTACAAATTATATCCGTATCGGCTATGACAGTTTTGGTGAACAAGTGCAAGGAAAAGTATGCTAATAGCGATCGTAGTTTTGTAACGAAAAAAATACATAGCTTTCGTTGTGCCTTTCGACGAGAACTTAAAAAAGTTGTTTCGTCCTTAAAAAGTGGATCATCTACCGACGAGGTATACGTGCCAAACTTGTGGTACTATGAAATTTTAAGCTGTATTGCCGACTCTGAAATGCCTAGAGAGGGAAAATCAAATTTAGAAGGTGACAAGTTGGAGGACGCATCTGAACTGGAGGTAAGAAAGTAAATAATGGTCAAACAAAAGTGCTTGCATGTCATCAATGATACCAAGCGTCATCTTATGAAATTTACAGGTAGGTACTTGTTTTATTAGACCGGCAAGCACTTTTGTTTGACGATTAGTATATTGTAGGTATATGTTATTTAGAGGTGCATGTAAAGTCTGTCTCAAAATTAAAAGTAAAAGTCAAAATGACATTATGTTGGCAATATAATGTAAAACTGTGTTATATTTCACGTAATGTCTATGCATGATAAAGTAATAGTAAGCTAAAATTATCCAAGGATTTAATCTTGAAAAGCCACTCTTCCTTCTGCGTTGAAATATTCTTTATATGAATTTCTTGCTCGCTTGCCTGCTGCTGCATTTCCTTGAGTTGTGCGTTGTAAGGGTGTTAAAAAAGGTCCATTTTCACGCCGTAACCCAGCAATGACTTCTCCCGTATCGGTATCTTCCTTGTCGATAGCGGATAAGTATGCTTCGGAGTGTCGTCTTAAGTAATTATGAAGGACACACGCGGCCAAAACAATGTGGTCAATATTTTTAACATCGATAGCAATGTCCGTGAGAAAAATTCGAAAACGAGAAGCTAGTAGTCCAAATGCATTTTCGACTACGCGGCGTGCACGGCTCAGCCTGTAGTTAAAAATTCTCTCTTCATTTGTTAGCCCCCTTTGAGGATAAGGTTTTAACAAGTTTTCCAATAAAGCAAAAGCTTCATCTGCGACAAATGTGTAAGGCAAAGAATATGCAGTTCCCTCAGGTACGACGGGCGATGGCAAGTTTAATGAATCTGTCATAAGTAGCTCAAAAAAATTTGTTTCATTCAGTATGCCTCCGTCTGATACTTTACCATTGGTTCCAGTATGGACCATAATAAATTCATAGTTAGCATTCACGATAGCCATTAAAACAGTACTAAACTTTCCTTTGTAATTATAGAAGTAGGATCCACTATTAGGAGGTTTGACAATATTCACATGCTTGCCATCTATAGCGCCACAACAAGTATCAAAATTCCATGTTTTTCTGAACTCTTCGGCTATTGCTTTCCATTGCTCTTCTGTTCTAGGAAACTGAAAAAAAATGTATATACTTATATATATATATATATATTTAGTGTTGGTAGAAATTTGGTTATGTCGCTATCTATCAATTTTGAGCTATACATAACAAATTTCTACCAACACAAATCATGTTCGTTGCTCTTTAGCATTATTTTTCGGTTTTTATTTTTGCTAGTCCTATAGCCACGCTAATGAGACCTAATAGGTCGAAACGCGTCCGTGGATTGGACTAGTAAAAAGAAAAACCTGGATTCTTTATATATATTTATGTATTCTCTGCAGAATTTCGACAGTGAGAGTGAACAAGCTATATCAAACATTAACGAGGACAGCATGATTTCGCCACTGCAATCACCTGAACCAGAATCATCTCGGCCAGGTTCATCGCAATCATTCTCATCTGCAAAGCGTCCTAGATATCCACAAACACCCAAATATGGACGTTCAAAAGGAAAAGATGTAAATAAAAATGACCTTCTTGCACTTGCCAGCGAAACAATGAAAAAGTATTGTTCAGGTTCTGCCGAAGTTACTGAAACGCCTGACGCAAGTCTTAATAGTTTAAGCGATTTTCAAATAGCAGGTGTCAAATATGCTCGAGATTTGGCATCACTGAACCCAATACAACGAAGCTACGTTGAAAAATTAGTTGCAGACGCGATTTTTTATGCAAGATTGGGGAAATTAACAGAACATTCCACCATTCA